AGAGAACAGGCCCATCTAACAGGTAGGTTCAAAGACACTGGCTGCCAGCATGCTCTTCCTCCTTTCCCCCTCCTGTGCCTTCTCTGATGCTCACTCTCCAGGCCCCAGAAAGCAATGACAGGAAATTGCCACTTGGTTTGTATTATAATTCTCTTCTCTTGGGCAGAAAGTAGGGTATTGTGAGCACCAAGCAGTGTGGGGAAGATGACTCGAGGTATTTACTTCAGCCTGTCCCTGGCTGCCTGTCACACAGGGAAGGGCTGATTTTTAGGATGGATGCTGTCTGTGCCTGAGAATCTTCAGGTCACTAAAGGGCCAATGTACCACAAGATGCATCCATGCAGCAACCCATTTACAACAGAATTTCCTGATAAACTGACTTGCCTCTCTTACAAAGGCTGAGCTATTAGACATACTTTGCCTCCAGCAGGCGACTTCACATCTCAAGGATGGAACACGCAGTTACAGGAACAAGGACAAGCAGAACAGAGCCCTGCTCTGCCCCCCTGTCCCTTGCTCTTCTGCTGTGAGGTCCCCAGCCTGACCCTCCTTTCTTCTCCTTGGCATCATTCGCTGACTCCTTTCCTGAGTGCTGAGGTGGGGATGTTTTCAGAAGACCCAGGAGCCTTCTTTTATCAAGCTGTCCTACGAAGAGCCATTTTGCATCTATTAGCACTAACAGAGCCAGGATGTGGTGATGCTGAGAAACCCCATCACACGCTCTCGTGTGTATGCCGGGTGGCACAGCACAAGCGACGCGTTCACACATACCCATGAGGCTTTCACCGGCTCACTCCCAGGTCTGGGCAAGGTTGGCCCCACAGGGGACATTTTCTACTGCAGTCCAGAAAGCTCTTATTTTGTTTTCATTTAGAAACCTTTTTAATCCATGAGAACGGCCACAGTCCAACAACACGTCCAAGCTCAGGCTCAGGAAGCCTTCTGGTTCAACACAAGGACAAAGAGGACTATGGCCCATCATGGACACAGATATTTTCTGTACCTACACCTCATCTGCCATGTCCTTTCCACCATAAACAGGTGCAACCATCTCTTTCTATCCTGTGGCTTCAGTTGTCTGGTCCATGGAAGAGATGAAACAAGGTCACTGTTGTGGTGGAATGAGCTGGTGATGATCAGTTTATTAGGCTGCTTCTAGAAAAATCTGTCTACCTTGACAAGCTTCTGTGTGCTAGGCTCTTAGGATAGAAAGATGACTGAGAAGGCATAGTTGTAGAGTCCTGCCATTGAGGTGTGGCATATGCACTTATAAAAGCATATGTAAAAACAGCATACAGAAAGAAGCAGATTATCCTGTTTCTTTTTTTCTAGTCTTTTTGTTTTTTCTACTTTGAAAGAGAGGTGGTTGGGAAGCCCCATAGAGTAGACAGCTGACTGGGATGTTGACATACAGCCCACAAAACTGTTGTAGGACTCACTGGAAGGAATATGGCAGTATGGGCCCTGGAGTCAGACATTGAGGTCAAATTCTGCCTCTGCTCCTTGCTAGCTGTGGGGCCTTGGGTAAGTGACTTAACCTCTCTGTGTCAGGGTTTCCTTATCTGTAAATTTGGGGGAAGCAAAAGTTCCTCTCTTACAGACTTGTTGTGAGGATTGGATGATTTAACACACATGAAGCTCTTAGCACGTCCCTGGCATACATTAAGTGCTCAATAAACATTAGCTAGTAGACAACTTCAGAACATCTGCCTTTGTTCTTCCCAGGATGGGGATCTTTTCATCTTGCCAGGCAGATATAAAAGTAGAAGAAAAAGAAAACCCAAGAGATGGGGAGGGAAGAGGAGAGGGAAAAAGATGGGACTGGAAGAGTGAAGGGAAGGGGAGAAGCAGGAGGCGCATCCCGGGGGTGGAGGGGGGAGTTTCCCATAAGACTCTGGGGGCCGAGTGAGAGGCCTCTCCCACGGAGAAGGAGCGAGTTATATATTCCAAAGAGGACGCATGGCCCAGGGTCTCAGAGGATCCAAAACAAGAACATTTACAGGAATTCTGAGAAAAGTGAGAAGGTGTAAGACCACAACTGTGAAGGATACACACCCCACAGTTTCACATGTCAGCCCAGGAAATAATGCAGCATCGACAGCAGGGGAGACGTGATTGCGCACCAGTGGAAGTCAGTGTACACACTTAACATTTGTTGTTACATGTGTTGTTATAGGATATACAGAATTTCCTATTGATTAAATTTCTTCTTGTAAATATGAAGGAAGAGTGTTTATCCAGTACTTCACACATTAGGGAATGCTGGAGAAAAGGGCAGAGAGCACCATATCATTTGACTATATTCCATGCTGTTGATTACCTGGCAAATGTATGTTAAAAAACGCCCCGATGTGGGTGCCTCCGAGGGATGAAGAGAAGCTTCCAGGTAGACAAGCAGGGAGGGGATGGACACACCAAGCAGGGGGAGGAATGTGTCTAAAAGTCCAAATATGAAGAAGAGCATGGTTTGCAGAATGCACCAGTGGCAGGGTATTACCTGAGGGTAAACTGTAAGGAGAGGGAGATGAGGCTGAGCGCTGAGGCCAGGGCCAGGACATTGAACTTGATCTTTCTAAGGTGTGAGAAATCACTAAATGGTGTTAAGCAGTGAATGTCAGCTTAGAAACACAGTGGAGAATGGTTTCCAAGGGGCTGCAATGGGTCAGTGAGGAAAATGCTGGGGACCTGGTGCAATAGTTCAAGTAGACTGATGAAGGCCTGAGCAAGAGCAGAAGATCCAGGGTATGCACACTTCACCTTCTGGAAGTGAACTCAGCAGCATGTGGAGCGTTTATCAGTAAGAGAGGGCTGACTCCCTGGTTTCTGGTTTGAGTGATTAAGGAGAAGATGGCGATTCAAGAGATAGAGTACGTGCAAGATGTAGGATGGAGAGGAGGCGTGGAAAGGGGAATGTGTGTAATATGAGTAGGAGTGGAGTTAGTGAGAATTTCCAAAGCAAAGTGGAAAAGACGCTTCGCTTATCTGCCATTCTATCTTTGTGACCTCTCCTTTTCTTTAGAGAGGGAATATTTGAAGACACTCCGAAGGCAGAACAAACAACTGACGTTTACTAAGTGCTTCCTTTGTGACTTCTCTTGGTGGTTAAGTATTTTACCTACGTTACCTCATTCGAGCCTCAAAATAGTCTTATGAAATGAATATTATCATTTCTGGTTTACAGATGAACAAATTGAGACTCAAAGGGATTAAGCAATGTGCTAAAAGCCTCATAGTTAATAAATGGTAGAGCTCATACCACTCTACGAGAATAAAGAAAATTTCAAGAAAGAAGTAAGAAGTTTTCATTGTTCCTATTTCTGGGTGGAGGAAGATATACTGATAAATTTGGATGAACAAATGCACTTTGGCAGTTCTATGAACACCTTACATTTATATGTTCATACTTTTCAAAACATGTTTGCATTCCTTATCTCAGATTTTCCTAAAAATACCTACAGGAGGAGCCAGGGCAGGTGTTGGTGTCTTCATCAGTCAAGGAACAAATATTTGGTGGGCATGACCACTGAGCAAGTCACAGTTCACAGGGTGTGGGCTGACATTTCATTCATGGTCCTGCCTGAAAGGGGTTTACAGCCTAGTAAAGAACAGCTACAAGGGGCTATAACACTACAAGGCCTGCATGCTAAGTGATAAATGGAGGCGGTAAACCATTAGTTTTCAAACTGTATTTCCCAGATCCTAGTGCCCCTAGGGCAATGGTTCTCAAAGGTTGGAATGATTTTGCCCTCTGCGGGACATTTGGCAATGTCTGGAGACATTTTTGATTCTTACAACTTTGCTGGGCAGGGGGCGGGGAGGTGGGGGTGGCAGGGGTGTTAACGTCTAGTGGGCAGGGGGCAGCTATGCTGTTTAGCATCCTACAAGGCACAGGACAGCCCCCCACTAAAGAATTATCCAGCCCAGAATGGCCACAGTGCCGAGGCTGAGAAAGCTGCTCCAGGGTAACACAATTACTTGATTTGAATTTCATTTTTTAAATTACATTTTACTTTAAAATAGCAATAAAACAACAGATATGCTGAAAATTACTACATACTAAATTTTAACACATTGTACTCACCAAAGGGTTAACTTGTGCTGCCAAATTAAATGCTTGTGTGGAGAATTTGGACTAAGTCTTTCTGGCATAGTGATTGTAAAGGAGGACAATTTCTTAAGATTACCTCCTATGAAGAATATCCTAAAATTTCCAGACAAGTCATTATTAAAACAAAAAAAACCCGTTGCTAACTATTTGTATGTATCAGGGTTTTCTCAATAAAATACAGAAATAAATTTGGAAGCTGAGGCTGACACGAGACTGCAAACTGTCATCCACAATACTCAGTTTCATATTTTTGCATTTATCAAACAGCCTAAATGACTGACTTTAAAAGTAAATGCTGTTAAGCTTGAACGTATAAATTTGAGTTAATGAAATACTGATCTCATTTGGAAAAAAAAAAAAAAAAGGCCTGTGCTACTAAAAACAAATTTGAAAACCACTGATAACAGGGCAGAAGCTCCATGGCCTGGGCCTCAAAGTGTGTCACTCAGATCAGCAGCATCAGCATCATCCAAGTGCGTGGTACAAATGCCCCACCTCAGACCTTCTGAATCAGGGTCTGCATTTCAACACGATCCCCTGAGCTTTAGAGTTTGAGAAGCGCAAGTCTATAGGATTTCACAGAAAAGGAAGCCAGTAGGCGGCTTCCTGTATAAACAGTAAGGGCTGCAGGCAAGGTGGGATTTCAGCAGGGTATGATTCGAATTAACCAGACAGGGACATATGGGGAGGACATTCCAGGTGGGGGAAGGGGCAAGACGAGAGGGCCGGGAACAGATGACCCTAGCCGGACAGACGGTTCTGCAAGCAGAACACTTAGGAACAGTTCGACGAATTTGGGGGCAGAGGGGCACTTGGGGCTGACAGAGGCAGCAGCCAGCCCGCTCCCCCACCCTGGGGCTGCTTCATCAGGGGCTGCTTCAGGCCCCCTTACCTCCTTGACAGAGCAGCCTCTGCTGAATTCCGGCCGAGGATTGCCAACCTCTTCGCCACCATGAATCAATTAAACCTTCAATAGCCCCAAGAAGTTGGGACTCATTATCTTCATTTTGTAGATGGGGAGCCAACCACTTCCGGAAGCCGTAATTACTGAAGGTCAGAGGGCACCTGAGGCAGGAAGTCTGGTCTATAACTGCCCATTCCTGGCCCTCCCAGGTTCTCGCTCGCAAGGGGCACAGAGAAGGAGCTGCTCTCCGCTGCTGCTGGGAGCTCTTCCAGAGCTTAAGGGGCTTCAAGGAGCCCTGGCAAGGAGAAAGGGGGCTATTAGCATCTGCACTCAGGCCAGGGTCTGTGGAAGAAACAAGACTCTAACCTCGTGCCGGGTGGGGGCAGGCTGCTGAGAGGGTTTACTGGAAAGACACTGAGACAGGGCAGCCTGGGGGAGGGAAGGGGAGGGTGGAGAGGAGGCAGCTAGGAAGGAGACCTCTAGCGAGGCTATCCCTGAGAGTTGAAACTGTAAAATCCCTCTAATCAAGCGGTGAGGAAACTTCAGTTGAGTCAAGAATCACCTCATTTTCTTAAGAATACAAATAGGCCTGACTGAAGCCTTATGTGTCAGCTGAATTCTTTACAGGCCCACATATAAGCCCTGGGAAACAGTATGCAGCTTGGCTGGTGGCCTGTAGTGTTGATTCTTACTGGGACCTCTTTGACCAGCCCTGATTGTGCTAGGATTCCATCACAGGCTCAGCTTTCGCTCAACCTCTTGACCCAGTGAGGTTTCTAAGCTGAGGCAATGGAGTCCACTCTAGAAGAAAAACAAGGGCCCAGGGGATAAGGGGAAGTGTCAGGGCCAGCTACTCCATCCCTTGAGGGTCCCCTCAGCCACCCTGTCCTGAAGGTGGAGAGGGTGGGATGCCATTGGGCCCTGCCCTGCAGTGCTCAGGGCACAAGTTGACTTCAGCTGGAGCCCCTTAGCTCTGCCTTGAGGCTGATTCATCAACTCCTGGAGGCTGAGTGTGTTGAGGCCCTGCCTCCCCTTGAAGCTGCCCTTTGATTCCTGGTTAATGACTCCCAGCTGTGCTGGTCCTGAGTCCCTTCAGACTTTCTGGGAAGAAAAGGCTCTGAAACCTGAGCTGTTTACTAGGCTGTGGACACTTGGGGACAGAGCAAGTGCTGTTGGTCCCCAGGTGGAGGCTGCACTGTGGCTGGGGGCATCTCCATGAAGGCTGGGAGACAGAGGCTGAGGTTGCTGGGGGGAAAGCAGAGAAGTCACCCCCAGCTTTTGGCCTCTGAGGCCTCCTGGGCAGGCCTCAGGCATGAGGTCTCTCCCCAGATTCAAGGATTGATCTCTGAGACAGGTCTCAGCCTAAAGAGCCTAGGACTTCACCAGGGCAGAGGGACAGGGGTTTCTTGCCTCGCCCCCAGACTCCTGGAACTCACTCTTCTGCGATATTAAGAAACTGTTCCTGACAGCTGCAAAAATCCAGGGAGGGGTAATATTAAGCTGAGAACACCTTACTGTAGGGAGCCTGTTTGGGACCTTCTGCAAGGTCCAGCTAATGGAGAAGTTGACAGGAGAGGGGAGAGGTGCAGAGCTAAACAGGGAGGCCCCAAGTTCAATGTTATGTACTCAGTTAAGGGGTGCCACAGGAGGGCGTACTCCCCTATCATCAGGAGGTAGTGTGGTGCATGAGAATCTCTGGGGGAGCATTTCAGGGGGAGGCAGGGCAGAAGCAAGAAAGGAAGACAGTGAAGCTCAAAGCTGAGCGCTCAGCCCAGCCCCAGCCCAGGTTCCTGTTGCTGGTGTCTTTGGTGAGGGAGCCAGCCATGGGGGGCCAGACTGGATTTGAGCTGCTGAGGCAGGTGTCCGGCAGGGCTGGTAGGGAGACAGGACACTGTCACTGCTGACAGCTTGATCTCTCCAGGGGCCAGGGCGACAGTGGGGCCCAGGTGATTTCAAAACCTGAAGCCCTAGACAAGCATAAGATAACCATATATACATACTACATAACTATTAAAAATCGTGCTATTCTTTAAGAATATTTTAGTATATGGAGAGATTCTCATGATACATTTCTAAATGAAAAGAAGCTAGTATTACAAACAGTACATACAGATTTCACTTATTTTGTTGAATACACACACAGACACACACACATAAACGCTGCAAGTGCGCTGTACTGAAAGTAAGCCAACACATCAACACTGGTTGTCTCTGTGTACTTGCATCCTGGGTTACATTGATTTTCTTCATGTTTTTCTGTACTTTCCAAGTTTTCTATAATCAGCATGCCTCGCTTTTGTAAACAGAGAGGACAATAACTATTTACTTAAAGGGTAGCACTAGTTCTATTTAAACTGATAGTTCTGTTGAAAGTGTCAAAGAGTCAGTGAGCTGTGGGCCAATGAGCTGGGAGCTTGGTGGACACTGCTAGCTGCCTAAGGGAATCCATTTCCCTTCTTCCTTCCTACAAGAGCTTGAGTTTTGTCCATGCTGTGCTCCGTATCTTCCATTTGCCCTTCCAGACCCACTCTTCGCTTCTCTTTTCCTCACTTTGAGCCCCGGGAGGCTGACCTTTATGGACCACATCAAAAGCTCTGGTTGAGTTTGGCTAATAGGGGATACCAGCAGGAGATCAAAGAGAGACAGAAGCAGGAGACCTGGTATTGATTCCTCTGGCTTTCTCCCAGTGGGCTAGCTATGTCTCTCTTTTGAGAGTTGTGGCCTCTTCAAAAGACCCACTCCCCACAGCTCTCTCTGTCTCTAGGTTCCCTCCCAGACCCCTGCAGGCCTTGGGGTGGTGTAGTGTGCTGAGTGGTGGCCTGCCAAAGGACGCATCCTAATCCCTGGATCTGTAAATGTAACCTTATTTGGAAAAAGGTCTCTGTAGATATAATTAAGTTAAGAAACTTGAGATGAGGAGATAATTTTGGATTATCTGAGTGGGCCCTCCCTCCAATGACAAGTGCCTTTATAAGAGAAAGGCAGAGGGAGAGTTGACAGAAGAGAAGGAGGCAATGTGACCATGGAAGCAGAATTGGAGTGATATGGCCACAAGTTAAGGAATGCTGGGAGCCACCAGAGGCTGGAAGAAGCAAAGAACAGATTCTCCTCTAGAGCCTCCAGAGGGAGATCCTGAAGTCTAGCCTCTAGAACCAAGGGAGAATAAATTCTGGTTGTTTTAAGCCTCCCCGTTTGTAGTAATTTGTTATAGAAACCACAGGAAACTAATACAGATGGTAACAGGATGCCCATTATTACTAGCTCTGTGGGGGATGGGTGCCATGGTATTTTTTGTGATTTCCCTATGCCTTTCCTATACCTTTGTAATTAATCCCACTATCAAACCATCTTCACATTACCCAGCTTTCATCAGCCACTTGTTTCCTGCCTGGAGCCTGTCTGATATGAGTGTCCACTTGCCCATGTGTCCCAAGGTAAGCTGACCCCCTCCCACATCCAGGGGGATTCTGATTTGTCCATGGAGTCATGGTAATCCTTTTCCCCCTACAAGTGATTTGTCCAAGAGCAGATGTATCCTTACTCTGGCCAAATCAGAGGGAAACCTGAGGGGCTTCTGGAATAGTTCCTTGCTCCTGTGGGACAGCCAAAGGAGGAGATGGTCATTCTTTCTCTCTCCTTCCTGTGGACATCGGCATGTCTGAGCATGATGCCTGCAACTGCTGTAGCCGTCTTATCACCCATTTGAGCCAACTGGTGGGCCAATGAATCCACCAGCCCTGAAGGTAGTCCTGCTCTGGGCTTCCTGTCATGGAAAATAATACATTTATGTATCACTCATTTTGATTTGAGTTAGGTTGTGTTATTAGCGGCTGGAAGCCTACTAAATGATGGAGAGTAGAATAGTTGTATGTTGCCCTAAGGCAGAGATGGTCAAGTGGTTGTAAATATCCCAGCACCTTTAAAAAAACTTTCAAAACTTGAAAAAAATCTTGATAAAAAAATTTCATGATATATATGTGCTCACATTTGGTTGGTAAATAGTAGCAAAGCAAAATGTGTAGAGATTTATAGTCAACCACCATGTTAAATGGGAAGGGGGCCTGAAATAATAGCAACAAAGTAAAACAAAAACAATTCTGTGCAACACAACTGGGATATTCAATTCAGCAAACCATGATTAAACCTGCTGTATGCTAGGCACTCAGCACCAGGGTGTCAAATGGCAATGAAACATTGGTCATTTTCCTTGAGGTGCTCATAGATTGTTTAAAAAAAATCTTTTTTTTTCCAGATTATGTTTTATCCAAATCATAGAAAAATAAATGTAAAACTCTTCATCCAGCAATACTTGTATTGTTCACTTTCTGCACTGCTGTTGGTTATATGCTTGGTGAGAAATGTACTGTTAAGGTCAAAATGAGTGCAATTCAAAGGTAGAAAAATAGAAAAGAATTTGATTTAAAAATATCACATAAACAAAGTATGGGAACAAAATTAATCTTTACCCCAAAATGCTAAAAATGCTTGTAAAGTATTACTTGGAACTGTAGCAGGTATTTCTCAGGGTCCCGGTTTGAAGAGATCCGGTTGAAGGTTTGAGGGAGCAACGATAGAAAGCTGGACCTACCTGCCAAACTTCACATAATAAAGCAGATGGAGATAGAGCCATTTCTCCACCAGCCAAGACCCCTGCTCCTTAATTCCAGGATGAGGAAGTAGATATGCCTCAGTAAGCAGGCAAGTTTCTCAATCAAAAACTGCTCTTGGGGCCAGCTCTGTGGCCGAGTGGTTAAGTTCGTGCACTTCGCTCCAGCAGCCTAGGGTTTCACCGGTTCAGATCCTGGGCACAGACATGGCACCACTCATCAGGCCATGCTGAGGCGGTGTCACACTTAGCACAACCAGAGGGACCTACAACTAGAATATACAAGTATGTACTGGGGAGCTTTGGGGGGGGGGGGGCAGAAAAAAAAGAAGATTGGCAACAGATGAACAGATGTTAGCTCAGGTGCCAATCTAAACAAAAACCACTCCTGCCAGCCTGATAGTTCTCTATTGAGAGACCCATTCCTTAGGATCAAGTAGGACCACTCCATAAATACTCTTTCAAATACTAGTACCCCTGGGAGGGGTATTCAAATTAATTTACAACAGTGGGTGATTCTTTTAGTTTTTTGACACAGAGAGAAATGGGACACAGGAGGTGAAGAAGAGAGGGATTAAGGGACTTGTTTGGCAAGGCTGATACAGGTGGGACATTCAAGTTGGAATTCCCTGTCAGGCAGAAGGCTGAGTGAGGGCCCTGGAGACAAAGCACTCACCATCCTTTTGCCTCTCTCCTTGGTCCTGTTCCTCATCTCTGCTTAGCCTTCCCCTTTTGAGAAATGCTTAAATAGAAGCCAATCTCACCCAGTGAACTTTTCCAAGGTCTGCTCCATGGAACACTGGTTCTACAAGACGTTCTTATAAAATGCTATGGACTGAAAGCCCTCGGAGAGTCACAAGTAGGTTAGCACATTGATGCCTCTGAGAAGTCCTGCAGTTAGGAATACTAATTGTGGATTGTGTTTATGTAATCCAGCATTTCCCAAACTTTTTTTAATCAAAGAACTGTCCAGTACATGTGAATTATCATGTCTTAGCAAGATATTCTTTTTTTTTTTTTAAAGATTGGCACCTGAGCTCACATCTATTACCAATCTTTTTTTTCCCCTCTTCTTCTGCTTCTCCCCAAGGTCCCCCAGTACGTAGTTGTAGATTCTAGTTGTGAGTGCCTCTGGTTGTGCTATGTGGGACACTGCCTCAGCATGGGCTGATGAGCGGTGCCTTGTCCACACCCAGGATCAGAACCGGCAAAACCCTGGGCCACCAAAGCAGAGTGTGCAAACTTAACCACTTGGCCATGGGGCCGGCCCCTGCAACATATTCTGATAAATGCCTATCTGATGTTCACGGTTTTCAGTTGGAGTGTTTGTCATCCAAGTTTTCAGATACTACAGTCCTATATTTCCTTCTTGTGCCATTTCCCTAGTTAATTCCACCCCATAGCGTGTGAACAGGGAAGAGAAGAGGCCAAATCATACTGGACACTTAGCTGTTTCTTGCCAGTTTTCCTAGCAAGTGATTTGGTTGGGAACAGATTTAAATAATTCCTTACTTTGTAGTTAGCAGGTTAGCCACAGATTACAATGATCTAGGTTCTCGTTTCCTTATTAATATAGAAAAATTGCAAGTTGGCTTCTACTGGGTTGTTCTCAGCAAAACTTGTCTCCTTTAAAAGCAGTAGCCTCCTTAGTAAGCTTCTTTTTATTATTCTGTAATTTTTGGAAAGAGCTCAAACATCTCTCCTCCCTAAGGAGAGCTGGTTCAGGAAAACTACTATTGTTCCTGGCCAGAAAATAGTTCAAATAGAATCATCACAGATGTAACTGGATATTCAGGATGTTGCCTGGAAGCCACCAAACTACGAAGTGTTTGAGACCACAAGAGACTGACCCAAGGCTCATTCTAAGACTTTGCTCCTCCAAGTGAGTTCTCTAAACCAGAAGCTGAGAACTTGTTAGAAATGCAGAATCTGAGGTCCCACCTCAGACCTACCGAAGCAGAATCTGTGCCTGAACAGATCCCCAAGTGATGTGTATCGCTTGTACACCAAAGTCTAAGAAATGTCAGGATTCATCCCACCATTTCTCATTCGTTCATTCGCTTGTTCAACAGGTAATTATTGAGACCTCACTATGTAAAAGGCTTTGTTGTAGGAGGCCACGAGGAACATTTCAGGCAGATGGCACATCTAGAGCAAATGCCTCAAGGGGCAAATGAGCTTGGAAACAGAAAGAAAGAAAGCCAATGTGGCTAAAGCTTAGTAAATTCGGAAACTCTGAGGTCAGAGAGATCGAGAAGGGCCGGATTATGTGCACCAATGGTTCTCAAATTTAGGGTGCATCAAAATCACCTGGAGGAGGCTTGTTAAAACACAGATTGCTGGGTCCCACCCCCAGAGTTTCTGATTTCGAAGCACTTGGGTGGGGCCATGAATTTGCATAGCTAACAAGTACCAGGTGATGCTGACGCTGCTGGTCCAGGGACCACACTTTGAGAACCACTAATGTAGAGCCTGTGGAGCCTTGTAATGAGTTATAGTCTAAGTGTGATGGAAAGCATCGAAGGATTCTAAACAGGGGCATGACAGGAACTGCTTTTCATTTCCCTCTGTCACCAACAGAAGAGCAGATCTTTCCAGTCACCCATTATCACCTGGACTTATCCCTTTCCTGCTTTGCTCATCATCTGGTTTGACCCAATTTCCCACCCTTCCCCTGTATTTCCTCCCAAACATTTCCATTGTGTCTTTTGGAAGTCCATCCCCCACTCTCCCCCCACTCCCCAATCTATGATTCTCACACATCCTTAGCCTGTAACAGCCTTCTCTACCCCTCCTTGCCTTAGTTAGAGCCTGGCTGGTCCCAAGGACACCGTATTCCTGCAGCTTTTTCTGGCACAGCCTATTTGATCTCTTAGAGTCTGCAGACTTCAAGACTAGGAGGTAGGGTTGGTGCCTGAGTGTTCTCCATTACTGTTCTATGACCATAATTCCTATCACCTCTTACAAAGTCCCTGCCTGTTAGAGGGTCCTGCCATGAAACTCTACCGCTACTTCACATGTCCTCATTCATTAAGGGCCACACCCCTGGTTCTCCATCCTCCTGTCTACATAGCATTTTTGTCAATCTCAGTGAAGTTAACCACACCAATGACCCATCCAGCACCCTGGTTTCTCAGTTTCCTTGATCTTTTCATCTCTAATGACCTTTTCTTCCTCCATTCCACTTCAAGGTCATAGTCTGAACCTTGACATCACCAGAAACTGTCAGGCCTCTGCAAGCCCAAATGCCCACTGTCTTCCACTGCTTCCTCTCCTCTAAAGCACTTGCTCAAGTTTCCATTGCAACAATTCTTCAGCTTTGTTGAGGTCTGCTTTCCATTGGCTTCATCACTTCTTTCTATGTGCATCAGCCACCTCCTTTGTTCACTCTTCTTGTTCAGCTTAGGGTTGGTCCATCACCATAAACACTCCCTTCAAAAACTTTCATCCTCTGATCCCCTTATCTTCCAGTATAGTCTCTCCTATAAAACACTAAATGGATCCAACCATCCATTTCCCCATACTTGCACTCAAGTAATTCAATGTTACTATGGGAAAGCCATGTAAACCAGACTGTTTTCACTTTAAATTCATGATCACAGACCTCAAAGTTGTACTCAAAACTGCTAGACAATATTGCTGTTTTCTGGTAAACTAGCATGCTTATGTTTTGAGGCTGCATTTTCATACATTTTTAATCTTTAAAACTCACACAACCCTTCTTGCTTCTTACTCAGCTGATGATCTCTCTGCATATTTCATTGAGAAAAGAGAAGCTATCAGCTGTGAACTCCCTCGTTTTCCCACCTTAAATCTACAAGCACATCTACACTTTCCAGCCTCTTCTCCTTCCCTCTGGTCAGATGTCTGTTGCCCATCAAGGATCCATCAAGCCACTGGTGCTCTGAGTGGCCTCCCCTCATTGGTTCAGTCATCCCCCATCAGCATCTCTCTCTCTCTGTTGGATCATTCCCATTGGCAAACACGCATGCTTTAGCATCTCCCATCAGTTTCTTCTGTAATTTATACCTGCACTTCCAAATAATACACCTATTTTTAGCTTCTTCAATTTTAGACACTTTCAATTGCTTTCCTGTACCCTCCTCATGTACATTCCCCCTCCTTACAACATCCTAATGTAGTTATATCATCTTTTTTTGCTAAATTAATGTCTAGTATTTGCTTTACTATGACTTACATACTCACAACTAAACCATATAGGATGAGTCAACTTTATTTTTCTTGGGGTTACTAATTACCTCACAGCTGGACTTCTCACACCACAGCTCAGGACTCCAAGAGTGAGTGTTCCAGCAAATAAGGTAGAAACTACATGACTTTTTAGGACCTTGGTTGGGAAGTCACATAGTGTCACCATGTTGTAATGGTTGAAGTAGTCAAAAGTCCACCCAGACTCAAGGCAAGGGGCATAAACCTCACCTCTCAATGGGAGGAACATCAAAGAATCTACGTGGCTGTTTTAAAATGGCTACAGAGACACATACACTTATACTTGCATTTGAGTAGAACGTCTTTGGAGGGAATCACAAAAAATGGTAAGGGGAGAAACTGAGTGGCAGGACAAAAGTAGGAAAGAGACTAACTTTGCCCTATAAGCCATTTCTATCTTTCGAATTTTGCATTATTGAATTGTTCTTGCACTACCTTTTCAAAAAATTAAATGACTAACTATTTTTGACCATGTCACAGGTTTGCCTGGAGCTACACTTGCCCTTAGAGGCCATGTCAGTTCCCAGGATACTCTAGACCACTGCTGTTCAATGGAACGTTCTGTGGTGATGGAAAGATTCTATATCTGCATGGTCCAATATAGTAGCCACTAGCTACATGTGGCTACTAAAAGTAAAATTAAACTAAATTATAATTTAATTCCTTAATCATACTACCCACATTTCAAGTTCTAGTGGCTAGTGGCTAGTGACTAGTGGCTACATATGGGACAGCCCATCTCTAGAATGTGGGAGAAGCATACACAAAGGGGATCAGAGTGGGGAGCATGAGATTCCTTGGGTCAATGGTCTCAAAACACTTTTACACATGCACTTCCTGGAACAATTTTAAAGAAATCTATACTCTCTTGCAAAAATGAAAGTTGACATCTATATGCTTCATCCTTAGTTTAAAAGTTTATTTTTGTTAGGAGTTATAAAAGATTAAACATTTCATAAGATGAAATAAGATGAGAACTAACCATAATTAGAATAAATATTTCATGAGATGGTTTGATAAGATAAGTTTAATTACTGAATAAAGCAGACTGAATCTGAAAGAAATCGTGTAAAAAATTCAGCACCACTACCCTGTCCTGCTTTTGTTGTTCTAAATTTAGAGCATCTCAGTGTGGGCCACTGTTCCCCCTTAAAGGAAACACGTAGGAGACAGGGAAAGACAGGAAGCCCTAAGGGGTGAAGGTACCTTGATGAATCATTAAAGAAGCTCCCCAGAACCTACCATATCAATCTCCCCTTTTTTGGCTTGAAGGTTTTTACGCCCCAGAGCAAAGCTCCACGGTGAGATTTCAATGGGTTAGGGGGACATGGGAACACTTGTGAGATGATTTTAGAAATCTGTACTTGGATGTTAAGACTCTGGAAGCAGATTTTCTGAAAGCGATTCTCTTTAGCTCGTTCATGGACACTTAGCCCCTTAAAAAGCCTGTAGACCCCCACGTGTACTCGAACCCTGGTTTGAAGACAGCTGCCATAGGAAGAGGGAAGTTGGGCTTGGCGCCCAGTTGCCTGCTGCTGCTGCGGAAGTTTCATTGAAACCTGCCAAGGAGTGAAGATAAGGACAATTCCCAGGTGCCCTTGGAGCTGAGGCAGGGTAGCCCCACCAGTGTCAGGCCACAGGCCTCTGGTCTTCTCTCCAAGGCTTGTTTGTCACTAATGTGGAACTATTGCCTGGATTTCTTCCACAGAAGCTCACTTGTCTTGTCTGGAATGTTTAAACCTGTTTCAAGTGGTAAAGGCCAAACATGGAGCTGTTTCTTCCAGGGCTTGGGAAAAATTGGCAAGGCAAGGCTTAGTTCCTTCCTACCAGTTGATTTTGTTCCAACACTTTCCTCCTCTGCATCGCCTGGTTGTCCCCTCTCCATCTAATTTCTTTAGATGGAATATAGAATAGGACAGGTTTGGAGAATCGCAGTTCACTAGAAGAGGGGGAATGGGACTGACTCGGTGCATCAAAGTGGACAGTAGTCTAAGCAAGAGATGATTGGAGAGTCCTCCTCATGGAGCCATTATGTCTGACTTCGGTACTGCTTATAAGATGAAAATTATATGTAGTCAAAATTACTCTTAAAGGTCTCTGAAATTGGCCACCCTCACAGGATGGTGTTTATGTGACATATTGGAAAACAATATACCATCTCTCAAAATGTCCAATACAGGCTCCCCTTTTTTTCTGGCCAAGTAAGGATAAATCAGTGTTTCTTTGATCATATACTAGATGTGGAGTTGGGTTGCATCTAAGAACTATATTGTATGAAAAGTATGTTTGTTTAAAGCCAGGAATCATACTCAGTTTGTGGGGTGCTCATATTGTAAGAGAAGGGAGAGAGCTGAGACTGGAAGGAGAGTAGAGCTTCTCTGTCATGTCTCCCTTACATCGGGGCAAATGATCATTGATGGGCTGATGGGCAGAAGCCCTGAGAGTATTTAAACAGTCATTTAAAAATCTTCCCCTGCCCCTTTTTCTTAGCCCAGCAATTTGTAGCTGAATTTTCTAAGTCCGCATCTGTGTGTGATACTTCTCTACTGTATTCCCTTGCTCCTTCTCTATTTTTGGTCATCTCAGGAAGGTAGCAGGTGTTTTTGGATTGCTGCTCCACACCAAGGACTGCTCTAAGTCTATGCATATCTTCAGACGGGGGTTAGCACAGAAGCCCCTTGCCCTCACCCCCAGTCCCCATTTAAAGACTCCACCCCTGCCTACTTGCAGAGTCCTAAAAGATATGAATGACAAAGAAGATGTACACATTTGGCCCACTTCCTCACACCTGTGGGTCCTGAGACTGCCAGGAAGTAGCAAAAGTGGCAGCAATTAAACACCTAACGATCAAATGAGTGTCTAAATGGAGCCTGCCCTGGGGGAAGACAAAAGGGACCCAGGGACATCCAGCAGCTGAAAAACCTGATTGGAAATGAAGATGGATGAGTTAAGTCTGGGAAAATGAAGGCACTTCATTTGCCAAGAGGAATGCCATCTTGATGATCTTCAGTGGAAGAAGCTTAAGCCAGAAATGCATTTTCTCCAATTTTCTGCCTTTGGTGACATTTAAAACATCAATTAACAACTTCTATAGCATGTTATCAATTTGCCTGTAATTGTCATTATAAAGAAAATCAATTGCCTCCTATCAACGTGGTTGATTTAATAGCTTTTAAGACTTGTATCCATTTATTCCATCATGTTAACCTTGGTGGTACGAGCTCATCTCTTCTTGGAAATTGATCCCATATTAACACTCTCACAAGATAATTCACACGCTGCTGACTTTCTTGGCCCATCACACCCCCTTTCCTTAAACTTACACTGTCTGTTTCCCAAAAGGCCCGTTGGGAAGATGCACTGAGGCAAGCTCTCAGAGGGGTCCCTCTGGGTCAACTACCTAAATAGCCCTCTTGCCCTGCAGATGCCAGAGAAGAAACAAGGACAAACCAGCCAGAGAACAAGAGGCCCCTCTGCCAGCAGTGGGTGATGCCAGCTCCTCAGGGGAATCATATTTCTCGTCCAACGCTGCCAATGACTGCCTTCTAGAATATTTAATAATAACTTGACTGATGCTATATCACCTCTATCTCTGTGTTTTATTTGAAGTACCCATTACCAAACTATCAGGATGTTATTTATCCAAGTAGAGAAAAGACTGGTGTTTCCCTCTTTGACTCTGGATCCAGCCCTTGTGCACTCTCTTGGCCTCAGGACACCCTTGTTTCCATCCACCTCGGCACTGTCTGCCCGGGATTATTAGTTGCCTGGTACACTCTCTGCTTGTGCACAGTCAGGGGCTGACAGTCTTTTAAACATATCCCCATGCCCAAGCTGACGATTGTGCTCACACTGCACCTCCCTGGAGATGCCCTTCCACTCCTCCTCTTCCTCCAAGACCTAGTTCTAGCTCCCTTGACATCCACCAGCCATTCTTTCCCTTCTCCATTACCGACATCTTCTTTCTCTGAGCTCCAATAGCCCTCCCAAGCTGCTCCTTTCCATGGCACCTATTTCTGCCTTGGAGTTGTTAATGTGTTTCTATGGGCAAGTTTCAGCTTCCCAACCAGACAGGACTTCCCCTTCTTCAGAGCACAGACTCTGGCTTATTTATCTTGAGATTCTGCCTCACTTCCCTTACCACCATGTCTGGCGCCTGCCTCACAAGAGTAGGGGATCCAACTAGGGTAGAGCAGTATTGGTGTGCAGCCCTCAGGCCCAGAGTGTGCGGGAGAACACTTCAGCCTCCAAACATGCGACTGTGGGCTCCACAGCTCCTCTAGGTTCTTGCTCAGCTTCCCTTTTCCATTCTGGAACCATCAGATTTTTTGGTTGTGCAGGCCAAGGTGGTCCCTGGTGCCCCTACGCTGGAGTGCTGGATGGCAACCAGCTGGGTGGGCTCCGTCACTCCAGGTGGGATCACACTGAGGGTTGAGGAGTGTGAGTCCCTCAGGCAGCAGAGAACTTGAGATCACAAGATGGAAAAGAACCAAGGCAGCCCCTGCCTTTGCTGTGTCTCTCCCTAGAGTTCCTCAGACAAATGAAAATAATCTTCTTTCCGTTCTGTGACACTTGACCATTGTATTCACTGTTCCTAGTCCTGCCACCCTTCCGCCTGTCCCCTGCAGAGGAGTTTTAGCCCCTCCATGTGGGTAGGGGTGGAAAGGTCCTTGTTCAGTTATTTGTTTATACATCAAAGTTTTATTGAGTGACTACTAGGTGCCAGTGAACAAAACAGACCCCTGCTGTCACAGAGCTTACAACCTGATGTGGGGAAGGCAGGTAACAAACAATATGCATAATCAATCATAGTGTTATCTGGTATGCTAGGAGACAACTGAGTGTGAGGGAAAAAGCACCCACGTAGGGTGAGTGAAACACATTTGGGCAGTGAGGGTCAAACCTCAAATTTCCTGGATCACAGAGTTCAGCCTTCCAGAGACGTCTTCCACGTATGGAAACATCACCCTTCTCAGCACTAAGGAGATTTTCAGGTAGAAACTGGGTGTCTGGTAAAGCTCAGGGCTGGTGGTGGAAGAGGATCTTAGAAGGAAGACTTGGGACCTTCCTGATGGCATTCTCATTAGTTTCCTAGGGCTATCATAACAAAGTGTCACAAACTGGATGACTTAGAACAACAGAAATTTGTTGTCTCACAGTTCCAGAGGCTGGAAGTCCAAAGTCAAGATGTCACCAGGACCATGCTCCCTCTGAAACCTGTAGCAGAATCCTCCCTCCCCTCTTCCTAGCTTCTGGTGGTTGGGGCAATTTTTGGCATTCTTTGGCCCATAGATGCGTCACTTGATCTCTGCCTTCATTGCCACATGGTGTTCTCCCTGTGTCTCCGTGTTTTCACGTGGCCGTCATCTTATGAGGACATTAGTCGTATTGGGTTGGGCCCTTATAAGTAGGGCCCCACCTTGCTTCAGTACAACTTCGTCTTAACTAATTACATTTGCAATGACCCTATTTCCAAATGACCTCCATTTTGAAGTACTGTGGATTAGACTTCAACATATCTTGTTTCAGAGGACACAATTCAACCATAATAGTATCGAACTGGGGAGAAACGGGGTGAGGGCCAAAGATAGATGTGCCCTCAAAGCTGGCAATCTACAGGAGGGAGAGCGAGGGATGGCCACAAAACTCTCTTGAAAGTGGGAATATTTTCAGAAAGCAATCATGAACACAAGGGCATGGATTAGGAAGAAAATAAATCTTGCAGAGTAGAGTGAAGGGGAGAGAAAGTAGGGCACGAATAAGGGGAGAGGAGGTGAAGGGAAGGACAGGGCACCTGAGCCCAGGAGGACCCACGGGCTGTGAGAGACATGGGAAGGGAGGGCAAGAAGCACGTTCTGAAGGACAGGAAACCACAGACTCAATGTAGGAAATCTCGTCTTTGCGAGGAGTTATTTTGGAGTTCATTAAGCAATTTCCTGTGTGAGACTAGAAGTGTAGTGGGTGTTCTGTCCAGGAAGCTGATGGTCTTGCCTCATCTTGGTTTAAAAGGTGGAAGAGCACATGGGAGGAGCCCAAGGCCATGGCGTTTTGAGCCAGATCCCCTGAGCTCTGGACCCCAAACCAGGCTGACAGAAACCCCAGGTAGGGGGCTGGCAGAACTGACTGGAGAAGCAGAGTTGCTTCCTGTGGGAGCTGAGCCCAGGGCCTGGATAGACACTGCCTGCCCCTACCCCACACCAGGGAGTGGGCACAGCCAGGGCCCTCCCAGCTCTCTCAGATGCAGAAAGGAATATCATTCCTAGCAGCCAGCTAGACCCCCCAAACGGCATCCTGCCCACCTCTCTCCAAGGGCATTCAGCTTTAGTTCCAGGCAAGAATGAATGAGTTGGGGAGGAAGGAGCAGATTTCTCTGTATGGGGGTCTAGAGAACCACATATGCCTCCTGCCAGACACAATGCTGTACATTAGCACAGATCTCTGTGCTATTCTGACCTATTCTTCAGGGTCATCTCTCAGCAGATTTGGAAAGGAGGTGATGGCTGCCACGCAACCTCTGATCACCTAGAATCCTAGGTTAATGTGCAGGACTTCTAAGTCC